GGTCCTTTGTGTGGAAGCAAACCCTGCTGAATCTCAGTGCATTCAAAAGAAGCACCTGGGATGAGAGGAGTATAAGAGCCACTAAATATTTTTGCACACAGTGATTAAAGGAGCTAGGCAATAAGATAGTACCAGTGCTACTCTTTGCCATGTTTCTCTTCAGTATTCATCTCACTAGGGGCTTTGAGTCAACAATGATCTGTGACATGAAATAACTATGACCAGGGTCATTACTTTAGAATGGATGAGAAGAAGAATTGAGATAAGGAACAGTTAACATTTGCCTTGAATTAGGGGACAAGGGTAAGGCTGCAATATAATACAGCCTGGCAATTTATAATCACTAGACTGAGATTAGGGCAAATTCAAATAAAGTCTGTGCACGCAAATGGCTTGTGAAAGATTTAAATGCATATTTTTGTTGAAGCATCATCTGGGGCAAAACCCAAATAAGTTTCCCTTTAGTTTGCTCAGGAACTGGGGAGGAGGATTTTTTATCTGCAGACTTAAGTGCTCATGTCTTACTACATTCATGGAATTTAAGCATCAAGACCCAGGTTCATGCTCTGCCTTGGTTCTCCAGCTTTGCTGTGTCAGAAATCTGATAGAAAACCCTGGCTCTAATTCCCAAAAGATGAATCTGAGCAAAAGGCAGGCAGGTGACAACTAATTAGTCATTAGTCTTATTTTAAAGAGTGTTAACAAGGAGTCACTTCTACCAGAGATAGGCCAAGGCTCCAGGTCTTTTTCTAGGTTAGATTTGTAATCCTGTACTTGCAGTACAAGTTAGCTCTCACCTGTGCAGCCTTCCCTATCCTGTGCCCTCCATCTACCCTGCATTAAAAGTTCAATAATTCCAAATTAACAACCGTGCTTACTGGGAATTCTGAAGATTGTAGGTCAACCCTTCTGGAGCATAAGTTTGAAAAGGTTGCACTACTGGATGTCTTCAAATACACTATTTCCTCAAAAGGAAATGAGATTGGGATATTCACCTCTGAGAAGAGAGAGGCTGTAACTTTAAAAGGCAGACAACATAGACTAGCCTTCCCCACAATATAGGCATTCTGTGCCCCAGCCAGAGATCACAGACCACACTGTCAGGCTATCTAGTAACATTTGATTGTGGCACACCCTTGGTCAGCTGGCTTGTTTTTACATGCATCTACATTTGATCTCCATCTACCTGGAAGACTCCTCCTCTTAGTTTATTGAGAACAGCCCTACACACAGAGTCCTGCCATGCCTGACTGTACCTAAGAGAAGCCTACAGGAAAACAAATAGCCACATTAGAAAATAAGCATTAAACAACAATGCACCATTAATCAGAACATAAGTTAGGACAATAGGAAACAGCAATAAATGTGGAGAGGCTTTGAAGTTTGATAATACTCAGAGTTATCCCAGAATAATAGGGATGTCACTGCAGTATTGACTTTTCCCAGGTCTATATGAGCTGTTATTTGGGATGATCTGCTGCATCTTGGAAAATTAATTGCATCTGATATATTGGTTATTGGGGTGGGTGGGGAAGTGCCCTTTTAGCTTTTGCTACTCATCTCTGCCAGAAATACTAGCAGGGGAGAGAAGAAGAAAACACTCAAAACGATTCCACTGGCTCCACTCATGAGGCTTGTACAGTGTGCAACCTATGTTAGCCAAGCTAATTCATTATAGACAGCCCCAGGTTTTTTAAAAAAATGGCTTCCACAAAAAAATATATGCGCATCCCAGGAATACTTTGTACATTAACTGAATTTGGAAGGTGGTAACTCGGAGCGGACTTGGAAGTTAAACATGACAGGGGAAACATCTGTCAGGGTTAAATAAATATTGCTGCTAAACCAAAGGCCTCTGAACTTTCACTCTGGACAATTATAAAAGCTAGCCCCCCTCTTCCCCCCAACTTACTTTAGAAGTGAATGCCTTTATTTTTCCAAAGAGAGAATTCTTGCTTGTGAATATCAGGTCGTCCTCTACATCTTCTCCCTCCATGATAGCACAACTGTCTGCTGCAGGCAATTCACTGTCCTTGGGACTAGCATTCATAACCAGCTTAGAGTATTTGTACTCTAACCTAAAAAGATATAGATGTATGAGAATCAGATGGAAGGGTTATATTTGCAAAGCAGACTTTGGATTTTTTGGACCCTTGAGTTACTGTATCAGTGCCTTTCCCATTTCTCTTTTTTACCATGCTTTCTTTCCAAACTAGGCTAGCCTAGCTTTCCTCAAACCAGGTGATCCTCCTGACATGTGGACTTTAACTCCCAGAATTCTCAGCAATGGTTATATTAGGTGGAACTTGAAGGCCACACATTGATGTTGATCAATTGATGTTATAGATACTAAACAAGGACTTTGCTATAAAATCATCTGTCTCTCTCTCTCTCTCTTTTTTTGAGAAACAGAAGAGTATTTATTTATTTATTTATTTATTACAAATCTAGTTCGCTTCACATAAACAACTCTAAACTTAGAGTTAATTTAGAGTTATGCTGTAAAGTTATGCATAAACTCTAGCATAGGTTTACAGCAGAACAGAGTACACATAATACATTATATTAAATAAAAATGTATCATGGCTGAAATTGAAAAAAGCAAATAGAAAATAAAAGCAAATTATCAAAATGTAGGCAACTTTATATAATATTACATGTCCATTATGCAAAATATTAACATTTGAAGACTGACTTGCAGCTTTTGTTATTGTCTTTTGTGTTGTTCAAAATTGTCACCTGATTTAAATAGTTAACTAGAGAATGGGGTGGGAGCTTTGCATAAAGTACCATAATAGAGAAAACCCTAAGTTTGACAGACCTAGGTTTAGTGGATTTCAGATACAATGAACATTTTTTTTCTCAAGGCAAAGTAACGGACAAAGTTATTACTCAGGCAATTCATTATTAAATCTGAATGTTAATTACATCTGTAAATGATGCCATCCATTCTATTTGCATCAGTTTATATCATTTGCATAATGAAATCATATGCAAATTGTGTAAATTCATCATTTGCATAAATATGTCATTACACAAATGATGGAAAATGATGGAAATGAATAAAAGACATCATTTACTGTTTTAATGAACATTCAGGTTAAACATATCCCCTCTGACTCAAGCAGTCTGTTAAACTGAAGGTTTTTTGCGTCAGTAGGAATAGATGACAAGAGGAGTGAAACAGCTTACTTTTGATTTTTCTTCCAGAAGTAGCAAGTCATGACGGTCAGCAGGATAGCAGCACAAGTCCCAGCTGAAATGCCCACCTTCAGCCAGAAGTCCATGGACTTGCAGATGCTGACTTTTTCCTCTGGAAGCAGGATGCCTCCTGCACATAGCTTTGGCTTCCGCCATACGTAGGTGGTTCGCTATAGTGAGGAAAGCAGGTCTGTCATAGCTTCAGTCAGAGCTCATACAGACATAGTAACAGAATCAAGGTCAGCTGTGACAGCTGTACCACTACTGTCACACTGAAGGGAACTTGAAGGATACAAATACATTTAGGAATAAGTATCAGAGCTTTATTACTGAAATGGCTGCTGAAATAGAATATCATAGCCTTCCCTGCCTGGCAGCATCCAGGTGTGCTGGAACATTATTCCCATGGTCCTCAGGAATGTTTCAGTCCAGCACACCTATGCCCCAGGTGGTTTATAATTTTAACTCCTATGAGCTTTGTGAAATTCACTTGCTCTCTAACTAAACATATTTTGGATCAGGCAATCAGATTCCAGCAGATTTTTTTCCCCTTTTCTTTTTCAATCTGGGCTCTCTACTTGTTTTTACATGCATATTTACCAAATGATAAATGGAACACAGAAATCAATTAAATGCAAATTTTAATGTTTGTATAATTGGGCCATTTTTAATTCTTTATTAAACAACAGTAAAAGTATGAATGTGATAACAATATGGTGCCAAACACAGTTTAGAACACCTGGACATGAACTATTTGTTTATTTATTAGATTTATCTCCACCCATCTCCCCCTAATGGGGGACTCAACAATGCAGAAAATCTGATAGTATTAGCAGAAAGTCCCTATCTTGTAAAAATAAAAAATAAAAAAAATTCAAAGATAGATAGCACATATCAGCAAATCAGATAAAGATTTATCTTCCAATGTTATATATTTATTCTTTTGGTCATCCCTCATGTGCAAAGCATCTACAATTCTACCTGATGCCTTAATAAATTTGAAATACTAGGAGTTTAAACAAAAATATCAAGTGCCTCTTTACTAGGCAGCAGTTACTCTAAAGCCATGTTGACAGTCTTATGAGCTTCATCCCCAAATGTAGCAATAGTAGCACAAGCGCAAATAATCTGAATTAATATTCCAATTCCTGAGTTGACTCTTACATAGCAAAGTGATCCCACCTATTTATAGAATTGTAAGGGAAAATGTGATGGCCTCAGACCCTATAACAGACAATAAAAGCCCCAGAGATTGATTCCAAGTCTCTACCTGTATCCCTCCAATGCAGGCACTGATGATTGCATGATAATCATCTGCAGAACAGAGTGGACAGGCTTCGACTGACTCCCACAGGAAATGAAAAGTGCACCCATCACAGGTTCCATCAGGACATTTGCTATTTGGAAAGTTTAAGAAACATCTCAAATAGAGCCAAACTATGGCACACTTGTGCAGTAGTATCAACAGATCTCAAAAGCTACCCGTTGAAGGTTTCAGCAAAGCTAATTTTCCAGGCCTACCACCAAGTAACCCTTAAACTAACTCCCTTCAACCTAATGGTGCCAGATAGGTTGGGAATTCTGGAAGTTGCAGTTCCCATCCATCTTGAGAACACCAGATTGAGGAAGCTTGCCTTAACCAGTGATCAACATCATGCCTTATGTACAGATTAAGTAAGAGTTGCTGAATTTCAAAGCAGTTCTAAAAATCTGAACATTCTGATAGATTTTATTGTCAAAGCATTTTTCAAAGCTCTTTTAAAAAAGTATAGCTAATGTGAAGAATGCAGCATACCTTCTAGAGATAGTGTTGGAAATAGTTTGGGAGAGATCAAGTTGGTAAATGTAAACAAACAAACTGAATCTAAGAATGTGTCATAGTGCCAAACTATATGTGCAACTTCAGCTCCAGAAACAGGAAAAACTTGTCTGAAATCCTGGAGAGCTACTAGCACTCACTATTGACAGTATTAAGTTACAGTAAATGGACCAATGGCTGAATCCCTATAAGGCTATGTTCTGTTGATAGCTATAGAAATTCCCTCAGTTGTACAACACCTCTTGAGGATTGTTCTCGGGGAATAAATTCAGAAGCTAGCTGAGGGCTGTGATATTAAGAAATCCCATACTTCCAAGCAATCTTTTAAGAAAAGGGGAGTCCCTTAAAACTTATAAGAGCATGTACAGTTGGCACCTCAAACAATATTTTCAGTCTGCTTGAAGCACAGAAGAGGGGGAAAAATAAAACTTCAGTATCTTGACATTACCTTGGCACAGAGAGAGCTCCAAACTGGGATTTTAGGGGGTCACATCTCAGTCTTATGGCAGTGGCTCTTCCATCTCGGCATGTTTGGGTCACATCATTGGATCTGCAGTTCAGAAAATTCATTATCTTATGAAGACCAAAACCAGGGTTCCGCAATGTGGTCAGTATTGACCCCCAAGGTTTGGTGGGACTATCCAAAGGGTCAGTGTTGTTGTTGTGTTGTTGTTCTTTTTCTTCCTCTTCTTCCTCTTCTTCTTCTTTGTACTCTTCTTCCTCTTCTTCCTCTTCTTCTTCTTTGTACTATTAGTTAAACTAGTATTTATTAAATTATTTTCATATAATAAATGTTTGGGGGTCGATGAACA